TTGTCGACCTCGACAGCCTTAATTAACGTTCCACTGTCACAACTGCGCGAATGATGGCTAGAACTTCGTACTGTACATGCATCCCTCACAAAAGTGTGGTTGTGGTATAGCTTGCTGTTCCCTGGCGGCGCTGGGGCTCTCTGAGTAAATTGTTTTTCATTAACTTTTAACGCTGGGGCTCTCTGAGGTAGCATACTCGCCCAACGACATCACAGTTTTTTGTGCATAAACCAGAGCCTCTCACCCCTTATAAACTGATACATATGATTTGCGATTAAATACGGATAAACGAAAGGGTAGAAGTATGGCAGCGAAAATTTCGTAACGAAATTTTCGTTTTTTATGTAATCCCGTGAAACACAAAGCACCGCGCCAGCGGCGATTTGAAGCTCTTACTGAGACCTCCGAGGGAAGAGAATGCTCTCGTGCCTCTCTCAACGTTGAGCACTTGGATGTCACCTTGCTATGCGCCTTCGCATACCATCCTGCGCGCGGTCGGCCAACAGTGTACTGCTCCATTTCAGTAGAATGATGATGACAAATATTCGATAATCATGATGACAGCTGTGTTGATGGTAAGGTACACACACACGTAATCACGCAAACTATAATTGCCTCCGAACCAGTCCAGTTCTTCACTCCTGTACTAAAGAAACTCCAGGGCAGAGCGCTGACACCACGTTCTCATGAATGTTTCCGAGGTAGTTGCAGCTTTGCTGCTCTCCGTGCTGATTTTCCCGACTGTGATTATCGCTGGAAAGACCACGGATAATGGGCCTACCGCGAATTTCTTAAGATCAGATCCTTATAAACTCCAGGACTACGAAGAAAGAGGGAAAATGCCTCGCCTTGCGGACGTCGGAGAAAAGATCAATTCAATTGTGAAATCGACACAACAAAAGATTTGGCTCACGTACGGAAGACCGGCAGAAGACCTGTTAAGCAGGATGACGTCGGTGTTAAAGGAAGACAACCCGTTGGCAAACTCCAAGCTTCAGGTTTGGCTTAAACATGTTGATGATTTAAATCAAAAGCACCCACGTGAAGCAAAATCTGCGGCCTCGATGCTTACCGCTCACTACGGAGACAATCAGTACGGCAACTCTCTGCTTTCAACAAAGCTTAATGCCGCCATGGAGAATGAACACACGAAAGTATTTGCGCTTAAGTTACAGGCCCAGCGGTTGGAGGATTGGGGGCGCAAGAATACTGCTCCTTTGGCCGTCTTCGACATGCTACTGCTGAGGAACCATGATGTTTTAAAGAATCCACTCTTGATCTCCTGGTTCAAGTATGTGGAAGATTTTAATGCACGCAACCCCGTTGATAAAATGACACTTATCAGCACACTATCCCTTGGATTTGGTACTAGCGATAGAGGCCTGGTGGAAGTGCTGGAGGCCGGACTGAATGCCGGTGGAACGAAGGACATTGCCACCAAACTGAAAACCCAGCTATTTGCAGAGTGGGAAGCAAAGAAATTGACTCCCGATCTTGTATTTGATTCTACTCTGCGCCTAAAACAGGGCTACACGGACTCAAATGCTCCAGGTCTTTCGGATCCGATACTAAAGTTTTGGATCAGGTATATGGAATGGTTTAATCTGAAGCACCCCCACAAACAGAAAACAACACTGTTTGATACGCTCCGAAACCATTTCGACTATGATGCCATCGTAAGAATGCTTGTCGACGCCAAGTTGGACCCAGCCTCAAAAGCCTCGGCAAGAGACTTGGAATCACTGTTGTTTGCTAAGTGGCTTGATGGCAAGTTGACCCCGCAGGACATCGCTCGTTGGTTGCGCGCGGATAGATCAGACGCAATGTTTGATGAGTACAAGAGATTGTTCGAGATGAAATGGCCAAATGGTGTTTAGCCGCATGAAGCTTAGAAATTTTCGCCCCTAGAAAGGAATCTTTGACCTCAGTATCAATTTGTGCATGAATATTGGTCTTGGTTGCTAGTGTTATGCTAGCGGAGAAACCAAAAGTACCTCATCGCGCAGCTTCATTTGACCACTTCTTCTTGAAATATCTCGTGTATTTTTCCAAGATCTCGCCAGAGTCACCCGCTAATGCCCAGTTGATGTCGGTCGTAGGTTTTCTCTTCTCCTTAAGCCATTTATTCAGCAGTAGCAGCTCCAAGCTTTCAGCGGTCAATTTCGTAGTTAGATCTTTCTTGGCCGCGACAAGCATATCTTCAATGGCCAATGAAGTTTGTCCTGAGTGTATCAATTAGTGTTGTTTTCTGGCTGGGGTATTTTTGATTGAATTCAATCATGTACCTGACCCAAAAGTTCAACGAAGAATGGGGCCTGGTAACGCGGCAGCT